TATATTCAAATTATTTACCTCCAAAATTTACACAACATTTTTACTAATTCTCTCTACTTCCTAACAATTCTCATTTCTATTCCTCTACTATCTTGCAATTTTTACCCGACTAAAATGTCATTGTTATGGATGGGCGATGATCACCGTGGAACACAACAAAATATTAATAACAGTGTAAGTTTTTCAAATTCTATATGTTGTTCTTTGTCAAATTATTATTTCGGCGTAACAATTGTGACTAACTAATGTTTGTTTAATATTGTTGCAGATTAATGCCCCTAGGTTTAGGGTGCATTCACATTCTCCTATTCGAGTGAATGATAGAATAATGCCTTATCTTGAGATCGCAGGATTCACACACATTTAAAAAATAAACAGTTTGAAAATCGACTCAAGCCTAGTTGTTGCTCTATTGGAGAAATGGAGACCCGAGACCCACACATTTCATTTCCCAACAGGTGAATGCACCATAACCCTTGAAGATACATGTATGTTACTAGGTCTACGAGTTGATGGCAAAGCTATCAACGGTCCCACCGAGGTAACAAGTTCTGTTTACATGGATTACTTGGGGAAGGAACCAAAAGAAGAAGATAAAATGAAAGGTTTTGTTAGGATAACTTGGCTTGAAAGTGAGTATGAAAATTTAAAAAACAAAGAAAACCCGACTCAAGAAGATGTTTTATTAGAAGCCAAATTATTTATTTTACTCGTGATCGCAACAATTTTGTTTCCTGACAAAACACAAAACCTTTTGCATTCTTCTTGGGTCCCTTTTGTGGGGGATCTCATTGAATGTGGAAAATATAGTTGGGGTTCTGCATGCCTTGCAAAATTGTACAGAGAAATGTGCAAGGCAGCAGAAAAAGAAGTTAGGAGCATGAGTGGTTGTGCTCTCCTACTAACTTCTTGGGCATTCACACACATCCCATTGTTCGCTCCTGTCAGCACGGTGGAACCCTCGTATCCATATGCACAAAGGTATTCATGTAATATAATACTCATATTTATGTACGAAAAATATATATATTTCTTATTCAAATATGTCTAACATTATTTTGTTTTGTATTTTGCAAGATGGGCACAAAGAGGAATGAATTACCGTGCAACTCCTCGTTTCCATCTTCAAGGATATCGTAACGCCTTGGACCATATGCAAGAAAAAGATGTAAGTTTTAAACCAAGTGAAAATCGTGGTCGGTTATTCAATTTAATGGCATCTTAATTTTCTTTGTTATATGACAGTTTATATGGAGGTCGTACATTCAGTACCCGGTCCCGCGTCTAGAAGATAGCCAAATCTGGAGTGCCACAACATACCTTATTTGTTTTTACATCGTTGAGATGCATCAAACAGATAGGGTAACACTCCAGTTTGGAGTAGACCAACAAATCCCTCCCCTTCCTAAGTGTCTAAAGGATCAACACGCAATGACCATGCGAAAAGCGCAAAAGGTTCATTGGCAACAGTTAAATAAGGACGAGGTTCGAGAATGGAGACACAGAAGACAAGTGATTTTGCAGGGGGACTCTGTATTAGGTGAACGCAAGTCAAGTCAACAGTACTTAACTTGGTTCCGCGCAATTCCTTATGTCCATGTTGCTCCGGATCAATTTCTGACCGACCCTCGGACGCAACCATCATCATCGACACAACCAACTGCCGCATCAATGCATCCGGATGCCCCACCAACCACCACCTCTCAATTTTGGGGGTACCCATCCTCGTCAGCTCAGCATAACTATAACTTCCCCCAGTTCACCCAACAATATCAGCCCCAACCCTACCTCCGACCACCCAGACAGTTCACCCCATGCACAGCCCCAAACTTTGACCAGAGCAACCCTTATTTCCAATATCCTACAAATCCTACCTTCAACACTACCTTCTCACAACCCGCCTTCACGCCTGATGACGTCTACATCCCAACCGTTCAACAAAGCCAAGCCGAAACCTACCCACAGCCACCACAACCAACACATTCATTCCAACAATTCTTACTGACAGAGGAGCAACTGATGCAGATGCCAGATTTTAACATCGACGATATTCTAGATGATGAATCAGGACCCTCTACAAGGCAGACAAACCCCCCGACAACACATCACAATGAAGATTTGTCTTCTGACTCGTCTCAGTCATCTGCAAACGAGCGTTTGGGGAGAGGACACCGACAGAGAAGGGCCCCTAGGTGTGGAACTGAGGGTCATATTCGATGATATGTATATTTAAGTAATCAATTTTTTTGTAACTATTAAATCTTGAAATTTTATTCTTGTCAATTATTTGATCAATTAATTAAATACGTTTATTATTAAATTAATTCAACATATTTTATAGTTTTATATTAAATAGTTTTTTTTTTAAATTAATTAAATATATTTTTTATTAGTTTAATTAAATAGATTTTATAAGTTTTATATTAAATAGTTTTCACATGTTAAATAGTAGATTAATTTAATCAAAAATAAAATACTCCTAATTTATTAAAAATTCTACTTTATTAATTTTTATACAAAATTTTTATATGTTTCATATTAAATAATTTTTTCCAACATTAATTAGATATATTAGAAGTATTTAATATATTTGAAATTAATGTATTTAAAAAGATTAAATATATTTATTTGAAAATCTGGAAAAATAAATAAATAAATAAACCCTTTAACGTTCGCCCTTTCAATGGGCGAACTCACTCAGGCTGGATTTCGTCTACAAGTTCGCCACTCCATTGGACGAACTTCTTCAAGGCTTTCCCTAGTTCGTCCTTCTGTTGGACGAACTCTTGCAAAAGTAGGACATGCACGTCAATATATTTCAAACTGGGGTATTTTGGTATTAAGAGTTTCAAACTAGGACATATAGGTCAAAAAATCTAAAGACTTCCCTATTCCCTAAATCACTCATTTCAATCACACCCTAAAATGCGACACATGTTTCAAGATAAAATGACTCACATTTCTATCAAACGCCTCACACCTCTCATCTTAACTCTAAATGCTTTATGTTTGAGGATACTTGAATTTTTTTCATAAATGTTTGTTGCATACTAGTTTTTATTTTTGATAAAAAGAAATATGTAAACTATTATTGATCTATGATTTAAAAATTATATGCTAATATATATATATATATATATATATATATATATATATATATATATATATATATATATATATATATATATATATATATATATATATATATATATATATATATATATATGATAATGTAGATAAAAAAACTAATAGTTTCGTAAACAAAGCGTAGTTGAAACTTTGTCTCCTCTATTTTTATTTTTTTTTAACTTTTAGTCTTCTATTTTAAAATCTTATTTTTTTAGGACTTGTTTAAATCAGTATTAATTTTTAGTTTTTAAAAATTATTTTGTAAATCAATTTTAAAAAAAAGTTTTGAAGAAAAAAATAACATGTTTTCTAATCTAATTTTTAAAAATTATTTTAAAGTTGAACGATGCAACAAATTTGTCATTAATGAAAAGTAAATCATTTTTCTTTAATTTTTTTACTCTTTTTTTTTTTAAATGAAAAACTAAAACTAAAAACCTCTAAAATCTATTTAGTTTTTAAATCTCTTAAATAGATAATAGTTTCAAAAATAGTTATATAAAACTGGATACCAAATAAGTTTTATGATTTTCAAATTTTAAAAACTAAAAAACAATTTTGCAATACCAAATTAAACAGTCCCTAGTCTTTTCATTTTATTTTTTCGTCTGGTTTTTAATCCATTACAATCTTAAGTCAAATTTTAATGACATAGTTGATTATCTCATGTGACATTCTTTATTATCGAAGATTATTATTATTATTATTATTATTATTATTATTAATGTTATTATTTATAATTTCTTGGCCATTTCATCATTCAAACTCAAATATTCATCAAAATCAATAAACTTCTTCACATCTTCATCACTTTCAATATATATCTTCATCAAAATCAATAAAAAAAATCTCATCTTCATCATCCCAATCCAAAATATTCATATAAATTCACAAAAATAAAATCCACAAACCTCCAATAACCCCAAACTCTAAAAATTCTATATCGAACAACAACCCCGACCTAAAAAATTCAACAAGGTAAGAACAACCACGACCTTAAAAATTCAACAACACGAATGAAGGACATTAGGTTGAGAATGAAAGAGAAATAAGGCGGGTCCTGGATGCCATTGTGGCGGAGACACAAGTGACACTGTAGTATTGTAGACATCGCCGGAGGATGGGGGTGGTTGATGGTCGAGGAGACAGGGGAGGTATATGAAAGGTTGCCAAGCACACTCAGTAGTTGTCTGTTATTATGTTTATGTTATATTATAGTTTATACTTTATTCATGACATTGTTACTATATTTTGGATTCCATGTTGTACAACGTTTTACTATATTATTTCCGACACACACAATATTAGTCTTTTATTAATTTGTACGTCTATTTTTTCAAATTAAAACAAATACATAACTCATCATTTAAAAAAAAACTTGTTCTAATACACTTTAAAGATGCATCTCCGAAATATTACCAGAGATGCATCTCCGGAACAATTCAAATGTAAATAAGATATGAGTGACAAGTTCTGAGTGTTTAACGATTAAAATGGTTTCAGATATATATATTTTCGAAATATATCAACGTTTATTTAAAAATAAGGTGCGTCCGAATATACATTTTCAAAATCAGGAGACATGTATAAAAATTTATATGCTACATAAAAAATAGAGGTGAAAAAAAATTCTCAAATTTTAAATGATACATCAAAACTTAAAAGTAATGAAATTAAAGGACAAAAATTGAATTAAGAAAAAAAAAACCTTCGTATGATATCATATTGGACAAAATGGACTTTTCCCTTTAACACAGCGCTAGGGTTTCTCAATCCTATACATAAACCATTCCTTCAACTGATATTGCCGTCTCTACTCTCTGCGCGATTTCAATTTCCAATTAGGTTTTCGCTTACGACACAGAGTCGCCATGGGAGTTTTCACATTCGTCCTCAACAAAACTGGCGCTGAATGGAGCGCAAAGCAACACTCTGGTGACATTGAGGCCTCCGCCGCCTCTACATTTGAGATCCAACGGAAGCTTGTTCAGGCTGCTCTCGCAGTCGATTCAACCGGCGGTGTTCAGTCATCTTATTCTCCAGTCTCTCCCTCATCTGCAGTCTTCCAGGTACATATCATCACTCTGGATTCTGATCTGAAATGATAATTTAGGGTTTATTTTTTAGTCAAAGCAATTGTAGTTATTTATTATTTTTAATTATGTTATATAGATTCTGTGATATTAGAATTTGTATGTAGTGCTATGAATTCGGTTTAGGTTTTTGTTATGTATCTGAATCTGAAAAATTGCCAGTTACCTTTGTTATCAATTGTGAGGTTTTGCTGAACAATCGATAGATCATGAAATAGACTTTGGAGGAGTCGATCGAATATCCTATTCATTTTGTTTGACTAGATGTTAATTTTCTATTATGATTGTTTTGTTTAGGTGATAGTTGGCGGTGCTGTATTTGTTGGAGGTGGTGCTGCTGCAGCTGCTCCTGCAGGAGGTGCTGCCCCAGCTGCCGATGCCGCCCCTGCTGCCTCAAAGAAAGAAGAGAAGGTTGAGGAAGAGGAGGAAGATGACGATATGGGATTCTCACTCTTCGATTAGAGTTTTAGTTTTTGTTCAATTTTTGATGCAAAAGAGATTTAGTTTTGGATTATATGAATTGTATTTGTTTACTGGTTTGCACTTGTTTATGGTACAATTGGTCAGATAGAGTTTTGTGCTATTGTATTCTGTTTTACTAATGCAACTTTTTTATCTGAAGAAGTGTCTTACTTTATTTGAAGCTGCCTAATTCAATTGTGTTGATGCATCATGTCATTGCTTCAGCAGCAGGCGTCAGTTCTTAGAAATCCCCTCCCTTCATTCTCTTTTCATGAGTGTCGAAAATGTTATTGGAATGCTTGGAACATGCAGAATCATATGGCTTGAAGTCCGGTGCTTTAAGTGCTTCATTCCATTTTCAAAATATAGGAGTGGTTTTGTGCACCTAAGTTTTGCACTTTTTAAGTACAATTTTAACAGAGATCCCTTTTCTATTGGTTCGCATGTTTCAAATTAACACGCTTAAGATATCTTGTTCTGAGAAATCAAGTATTTTAAATGTAAGCCGCTGGTGATAGATGATGATATAAGTTTCAAAATTAGATAAAGATATAGATGATTATATAATTTTTAAACTTAAATCATCATGCCTCCTCGTGATTGACGAGGATGTAAGTTTCAAACTTGTATGCTTAGATCATCATAGCTCTTGGAGCCGAGGAGGATGGTTCCTTTTTTGGGCGTTCCTTCCAATTCCACGGTCTTGTGCCTCTGGTCCTCATGTTGGGCATCTTTAAGCTGGTGATCTGTAGTGGCTGTGGGGCTGGCAGACCATTTATCGTCCCATATTGTCTCAATTAGCCTTGGGGTTTGGCACATCATTTATCGTCCCGATTAGCCTTTTTCTTAGCTGTGAAGGACTTTTTTCGATCATGTGTGTCATCCTTTTAGCAAACAAAGAGAAAAATGTTAGTTGAAAGCGGCATGTCTATTATGAATGCCTTAATAGACATTAAACTTAGACAAATAATCGCTAATTTTCTTATCTTTGTCGTCATTCTTATTAAATTTCACGATTCCTCTAGAACTCAGTGATACAAGATTCGTTTAAGATATCAAGAGCCCATCTTTTCATCTTAGTTAGAAAGTCATAATTGAAATCATTTATCGCTACAAGCTCATTTGTCTAGTAAAATAAAAATCGGTCTTCACAGGTTTTCTCGAACGTCACCATAGAAAAATTGTCTTGTTTCCTACTCTCACAAACTTATCTTTCCAATTCTTGTAATTATTGGAGTGAAGGGTGAATATGACCCTCCCAACTATGGCACTTAAGGTAACCCAACCACCCTTGCTCCTCTCACAAACTTATCTTTCCAATTCTTGTAATTATTGGAGTGAAGGGTGAATATGACCCTCCCAACTATGGCACTTAAGGTAACCCAACCACCCTTGCTCGTGGTCATAATACCATAAAAGAAGAAGTAGAGAGTCATAGTAGGAAAAGAATTATAAGTGCTTACACGATCTCAAATGCCCTAATGGAAGACCCATCAATTGGACAATATCTGATAGGGGAAAGTTTGGTAGCTTTTAAGAGCCTCAAATTGAAATGTCGTAAAAGAGATCAACATCATAAGTCATGGACGATACTGAGGTGTACGTAAAAGAATTTTCTCCCAAGCAAGGGATGCCTTGTTAACCCTTTCATCTTTGAAGTAGGGTTCCATGAGAACATCTTTTTCGTCCCTCGATCTAGATAAATTTATGCTTTTAGTAAAATAATCCACTTTCTCCTAAGTGATATAAATGATCTAAAAATCTTTAAAACTCTCAACATTTTGAAGTGCTACATATCATCAATGGTCCTAGACCCCTGATTTTTTTGGGAAAGAATAAGAGAAAATGAGTTGTTATCACTACTAGAGTATGAATTACTGTCATATCTTCCAAACATTCATAATTTGACAAGTTTGTAATCGATCGTCTCGTTTGATTGCCTCGCGTTTCTAAAACACTGGTTCCACATCCATATATATATATATATATATATATATATATATATATATATATATATATATATATATATATATATATATATATATATATATATATATATATATATATATATATATATATATATATATATATATATATATATATATATATATATATATATATTCCACACGAGTATAAGGCTCTATCACATTGCTATTCTAATACATGCACCGAAGATCATGGTTTGGATTTGTAAAGGAAGAACCAAGAAAGAAAGTTTCACTAAAAAATGGAGAAAACATGAAGAAAAAGCGATAAAAAAATTTCTTTATTTATAAAGCCGAAATGCTTGCGTAGGCTATCATTTCTCAACAATAGGTACATGTCAACGGTTAATGGGAAAAACATATACAACTCAGATTCGATGTATGAAACAAGATCAAAGGCACACATCGTCTGTACCTTCCCAAGGCAAATTCATCACGACAAAACATTTAATGCTTCATGTGCCCCCACATTTGAGGCTCGAGGGACTCACCCTCGAAGTCTCACTTGAGGGATTTTCCCTCCAAAACTCACTTGAAGGACTCACCTTCCAAGCATCGCTTGAGGAACCTGCCCTCAAATTCTCGCTTAAGGGACTCGCCTATCTAGATTTTAGAGAGACCGTCATTCGTCAAACTTAATCACTTCTCACTTCTCAGGTCTCGTGCTTGAGGGACTGTGGGATGAGATAAATTTTATTGGACCTAAGAGGGAAACAACCAAAGATCTAATCAGTTTAAAGGTGTTATGTAAGGTCCATTATAGGTAAAAAGTGGGCACAATATTGAGTCATCTGACTAGAGTCTAAATCGTCCAACTGGAGATTGGGTCGCCCTACTCGAATCCATGTCCATTGCTAGTCCATCTCCCATATACGTGACATGAGATATATAATTTCCGTCCTCTCCCTACATGCACATGTACACCAAGATGTTCATGACGTCTCCTTCTCGTCATTAAATAATACAAAGATAACGACTATGTCATTTGATTCCTTAAGGATCTCAATCAACAATATCACATAGTTTGTTCAAACATTATTCTAACGCGACTTCTTCCACCTATCAACAAAGTCTTATCTCTCCATATTCAACAAGAGTGACAAATCACCACACCCATTAAAGAAGACCAGTTTGCTACTCAAATTTAAAAACCCTTTAACAAAGGTAAACCTTAGGATGTTGACACCAAAAGTATTTCAATAGGCCGAAGGCGTGGTATCAAGATTTTGTGCATATTGCCACAAACTTGGACATACCATATAAGTATGCTTCATGAAACACATATTTCCCCTATATATAAAAAAAAAACAAATATGGCCTAATCCACCTCACCTGATAAAACAAGGATAGAAAACTCTCATTCTCAATTGAAGAAACCAATGAAAGAAATTCTCTTAAATTCATTGCAGAACAACAACAAGTTCTGCTTGCACTTCTTCAATAATATTTTCGACTCAACAATCCAACATACATCACCCTAAGGAGATCGATGCATCTGAGCTTCAAATTAGCTTATATGTGCTCACTTATCCTTACATCCCTAATAAAAATACACCTAATTTTACTTATAATCATCGCTCATTTTCTATAAATAATTGTAATATTTTACACCATTAGATTTGCTACCTTCTTATGAAATTTTAATTCACATTGATAAAAGTTTTTCCAATGAATAACATATCTAATTCTTATATTCCTTGTGATACTTCTATCTATACTAAACATAAAAAGCTTTTCTTTTAAGGATAGTATTTTCCCTCCCTTTAAATGTTTTGATCTCATCAATATAGATATTTGTGATCCCTTTTGTAATCCTTCTGAGCAGAGTCACTTCTATTTCTTCACTATATATAAACATTTTAAAATTATAACCTAAAAATATTCTTAATATCAAAATACTCATTAGAAATCTATGTTGGATAAAGAGACGATAATTCCTAAAAAAATATAATGATTCTTTGAATTTGATTAAACATGCTGATATTTATTGACAAATAAGTCATAATTATGCATATAGTTAAGCTTTCGGTGAATATAATAAAAGTATTCATGAGCAAATATGGACATTATCCATTTTGAACATGAGGTAAATAAATCCATAGCACATGATTATAATTAAAAAAACAAGTAAATGAGATTAAGAAGAAAAAAAATGGAAAGAAAGAATAATTTAGGTTATTCACTCAAAACCTACCATTAGACAAATAGTTGAATAATTTAGGACTTAAAACCTATCATTACCTGCACATATTCACTCATCACATTTTCTATATCACTATCAAATCTATATCACTATCAAAGCTCTAATAATTTAAAAGTATACAACTTATCTCCACATTATCACAAATCAGTTCCATAAATTGAAAGTTTGATTCAAAATCCTAATAATTGATTTTCCTTAAATATATTTATTATTTCTTTTTTATTTCTATTTCTTTTTCTATTCATTTTTTCTTATGAATTTTTTAACATTCATATAAATTAGTAATATAGTTAGCATAAAATGTGCTTTTTAAAATCAAGCGGCGGCGAAGAAAAACTCAATAGAGAGTCACCAATAAACCAAATTAAACACAATGATTTTTAAATAAATTCCAATTAAAAATATGTAAGAATATAAATTAACTAAAAATTAGGTTTTACTTACACTTTAAAATTGGCGGAAGAAGCAAGATGTGAAAAAAATAGATCGAATGGACGATCTAAGATAGAAGAAAATGCATCTGAGATAGGAATTATGTAAAAAGAAATGAGTAGAATATAAGAGACATATAACAACAATAGAATATGACTTATGAACAATAATATTTCCAAGAAAAAGATATCTAAAATGTAAATTTATCAAAATATATAACTTAAAATTTAATTAAATATTTTGAGAATTTCTTCTTCCATCATATGTATTTTTAGCGCACCGTATGGATTTTTCATTATACTTTTGTTTTCGAAGATGTATCTCCGGAACGTATAAGAGATGAAATTGTCCGAAGATACATCTTCGAAATATTTATGTGT